CAGGAATCCTGTCTGCTGGACTAGCACTTAAACAGGCTAGTTCAGTAGGACAAAGAGCAGGACCACATGGAGACCTGTCTGTTGTCTGCACTTCCACGCTCAATTAGCGGTTAAAGTTTGTCAGCAGGATACATAGTAGAGCCTTTAAAAGTAAGAACAGAGATGCTATTTTTTCTTAAAAACCTTAATAATAAAGTTTATTATGTTAATATCATTAAAAATATTATAAAATAATAAAATATTCTGCTTGGCAGAAAAATTATGCCAGGGTTTTAAAACCCCAGGTTTGTGCAAACGGTTTTTGTAAACATAAGTCAAGTGTTCAAGTTCCGTCCCAAAATACAGTAAATTGCTACAAAAATAAGTTTGCTCACTGTCAAACATTTTTAAAAACCCAGGAAGCTGGATTCCTTTACACATCTCTCATGCATCCCTATGCAGTTAATGCTGTACTTATATCTGAAATGGGAAGGATTTCAGATAGTCCTTTAAAACAGGATTGAGGGGGATCTGGCTTAAGTTCTCTCTTCCAAAAGTCTTCACAATGCTCTTCCGGCAGAGCTCCTGCAGGGGCTGCACGCGGACTTTGCGCAGGGGGGTAACCAGTACCTTCCTCGGGGAGCTTAGGTAATGTTCCAGCAGCTTAAAAAGACAGTCAAAAGTCTCTTTGCTGCCATCCAGACTGAAACGCCCAGTGTGAAAGTTTATCCGGATGCTGGTGGGCCCAGTCGCCGTTTTAACACTGATGGCAAAGAAGCAATTCTTTTGTGTGCTGTCCCTGATGAGGAAGGTGCCCTCGGGCTCAGACTTCAGCTTCTCGTGGGCAGCATTGACAGTCAGAGGTCCCCAGTAGAAGCCACAGGCATCCAGCAGGCTGCTTGCTCGAGTGATGCTACTAAAATCCGCTTGCGAGCGAAAAGTTCGGAAGTGCGTGTTGCTCTGTGCCTGCACAGTGCTGGGCCGGCCTGGGCCGTGGTAGCCTCGAGCCTGTGAACGATCCCGTGCTGGAGGGTCAAGTAGACATCTCGGGTCTGCTGCAACTGCATTATCTGCTGACACCTTGCTGTGCGCTACCATCCTACAGCCTAGACCAGTGGATGCGGCCTTCCATAGCGTCAGCGGCTACGGCAGGGCAGCTTTCCAGCAGCTATTCTGAAATGCCAAAGAGACACAATGTGAGATCCCCAGAGAAAAGCAGCTGCAATCTTCTGAATGACCAAGTCTTCCATTCACATGCCTCCTACCCATTAAAAAATAATAAAATATTCATTTGCCAATTTACACTGGGCAAACAACTGCTTGCTTTCTGACAAGATTAGCCGTCTATGACTATGGCAAAGTCCAAAGCTCCAAAAATATTTAGGAAGGATCACTAACAGCTACAGAAGATAATGCAGTTTCCTTGCTATGAGCCCACAGAAACCTATCAGGACCTAAAACAAGTCAAATGACAGGACCCTCTCAATGAGAGGTTATCTTGTGCACACTCCCAACAGATTCTCAAGTTTTAGAGAACAAGCCACAAGGTTTTTCCGAGTTACCAGTTTCTCTGCACCTCCCTCTTTCCCTTCCCCAATCCCAACTGAGATGTCAGAACTCAGATAACATCATTACTTGGTGCATTGTGTGAAAAAAAGAAAGTGGGTGAAGGAAATGTAAACTCTGCAGCTGGGTATGTCTCCAGAGAATTGGGGAAGAGGGTGAAGTGAATAGGTGCCATTGTGCCACTGAAGCATAACTTGGAAGGGCAGCCTGTAACACTGCCAATTTACACAGTAATCCTAAAACTACTTTCCTCTCTCCTGTTAACCTGAGGCTCAGCCATAAAAGGCAATTTTCTGTTCCCCCAACCCTCCCTTGGGACAGCAATGCTACAACCTCACTAGCTTACACAAATCAACCTCTGTGAACTCTTAAAGCATTACTCCTCAGTCTCTCTCTCTCTTTTTTTGTATTACATGCACTTTAAGTGGCCCAATCTAAATTGCTTCCTATTGATGTATCTTTCAGCTTGAGGGACTAAATTCATCCCTCGTGTTACTTCAAAGGAATTAGCAGTGGTGCACCAGGAATGAGTTTGGCCTGAAACGTCTACCTCTGACAGTGTGGTTCGATACATCTCTTGCTGGCTGCCTTGACCTTACTGGCAAGCATAGATTTTAGGATTTATCCCTATAGTCAGATATAGATCTGCAGCAGCTTGCTGAGAAACCTTGAAGTATTCTCAGAAATTAATCCCTCAGCCATCTTACGGTTCAGGGTAACATGCTAATGAGGATTTCAAAGAAAGTACACAGCTGTATTCCTGTCTGTGCTAATTTAACAACTTGATGTTTGATTTCATTTAAGTCATGTTACTTCCTGAAACAGCAGAGAGGGTTGTAAAATCCTTACGCTGGCAAATAACAGTCTGAAAGTAGCATTGGGCTTTCTTTACACAGCAGAAGGAAACTGATGTCAGTTTTTCCAACTACAGGGCCAGGATTATCGCTCGGTTTTTAAAGTTAACAAAAATTACATTTCAGGGCACGGTGGGGAGGAATAACCACTAAGCCCTAGACCTAAAAACCGCAGGGCTCCCTAGCAGAAGCCGTCCACCGCCAAGAGGGAGCTTGCGGTGCCTTTGGAAAGGGCACAGAGCACACGCGGGGCGCGCCAGCCTTCGGCGCCCGAGGGCCCGTGCCGGCCTCCGGCACAAGGGT